CAACGAAACTCAAGCTTGACTTCCTGTTTGCTAATGTGTTTCATTATTAAATTAATTTAATCAAATGAAAATAGTTTAAACTACTTGAGATGTCTGGTTTGTGTATTAGAGTGATTGATAGATCCTGCCTCATTTACCAGACGGAGAGATAAGACGCCTGGTCACTGGGGCATGGGGCACAGCCCATGTTACCTGGTTTTAGTTAGTCCCATGAATTAAGAGGAAAACTAAAACCGAGGGCCTAAGCACTCTCCATTCTTTCTCACTGTGTTTCCCCAGGATTCTTTTTCTAACATTAAGGCCGATTTTTTCCAGCACACGTTTCTGGCCTAAGTTTCCTTTTGGCCTGCTTGGCCCAGACACTTGCCCATTTGGGAAAGCTGCCTCCTCCCATGGCAGGATAACCTGATGCATAAATGTGTGGGCCCAGAGTCAGACCACCTGGGATCTAATACTGTCCCTACCACTTACTGGGCAAGTCAGTTGACCTTTCTTTGACTCAGTTTCTTTTTCTATAAAATGAGGATAGTAACATATTCACATCATACCTTCGTTGTGAGACTTGAGTGAGTTAAAATACATTAAGTGCTTAGAACAGGGCCAGCATCTTTAGCACCGATGGATGTGAACCAGGATGGTTGTTATTGCCTGGCTCCATCTCTTCTGCTGCCTCTGCACACCAGGACTGAATGCGATTGTTCAAATTGGGGTTTCACTTCAGGGTCATGATGATGGAACATAGAGACTTACGCAGACTACCAAGGGGTGTCATTCGAGATAATTATTCAGGTTTTTATGCTTAAAACTAAGCTGTCTCAAGATCATATCCTTTAGAAGGCTGTATTTTCTTTTAGGGTTAACCAAATTTTGTGGAAAAGTTCTCATTTTAGGTGGAACTTGGTTCCAAAGATTGATCAATGAATTGATTCAATAAGCTCACGTTAAGTAGCAATAGGCCTGAAGTCATTCTTAGAATTTGAATCCACTGTAACGATGCCTTGACCCATACCTACTTTTTTTAATGCGGTCAGTGGGTCATAAACATAGGTGTGGTAGTGGTTAAGTTGTCCATACAGACATGTTTCTGTGTTCTTTCTAGTATGTAAAGAATTCTTGAACCGATTCTACAACTCCTTAGTAGACAAGGGAGTTAACTTTTCTCTGGACACCATAGAGAAAGAACTGATCAGCTTTTGCTTGGATGCCAAAGGAAAAGAAAATCGCCTGGTATGGTAAATTTTCGCCTTTCATTTTTCCCGAGTGTTTGAATAAAACTAATAGTTTTGTTTTTCATTTTGGACTCAATGTCCTCCTACTTACATGCTTGTCTCAAGCATGTTCATGGTGGACAGCAAGCAGAAATCTATTTTCCAGTGAAATGTAGTCCTGTGTATTTTCATCCAGAATATATCCAGTTTC